AGGAAATCAGAGAACTAAATTTCAGCTGCTATTCCAGAAAAATTGATGAAAAACGTACCTTTTTGCGGCGAGCGAGGTCAATGTTTATATCGAAGCTCCTTTTCTTTCAATTTTTGCCAAAATCTTCCTCTAGTTCTCTTCAAAAATTTCAAATTCATGGCTGATGAATTAGCTGGATTCGTCTTTGACGAAAAAGAATTTTGAAAGAGTAATGGTGTCATCGAATTGGAGAATGTTGGGGAGTAGTCTTTGAAGCAGAGAGCAATTGACATTACAATTACAAAAAGAAACAAAGAGCAATTTGAGAACAGTGTCAAAGATAGGATTCTTGGTAGCTCCGTCAGTGTCGGTGGCCAAAATGAAAGGGCAATGCTATTACACGTAGCAAATTAAAATATGAAGGAATTGGATAAAGCCAAGTACACAGTACAATTGGCATTGCTTTTGGTACAACTCTTCAATGCAGTGGTTGGTAACAATGAATCAGACGTTGCTAAAAGTTCTATGATAATAGCAATAATTTTTTAAAGTTGTTGTCACTTATTACAATAAGCCAACAAAACTGTGATTGTTGCAAAAAATTGTTGCCAATTTTTTTAATTTAAAATTAATTATCCAAATAATAGAATATAGCAACAATATCATAATATTTGCTAACAAGAAAAATTTTGTGGTTAAAAATTATATGATTTAGCAACAACTTTATGAGGTTGTTGCTATTTGTTCATTTTTGCCAACAATACTATAGTTGTTGCTAAAAAATTGTTGCAAATTCCATACTTTCTTGTAGTGTATTAACTTCACCAGAAAAAGAAGAACCATCAAAGTATGGGGTTGGGGGAAGGTAAGAAATATAAGCACAACCGTGAAAGTGACCATCTTGACCACCACACATATCACACACATTCCACACATAAGATTGAGTTGGTGCACAAAACTCGCTCTCAGGAATATTTTGATAATTTTGCCCTGGGTGGTTTCCTTCACAATATGCATAAGGAGGATCAAAAGTAGAATTACCAACAACAAAATTCTCATAATTCCATGATATCATGTTTCTCAAATAAACAAATAAAACTAAAATAAAAAAAATAAAAAAAATTAAATAATAAAATAAAAGTTCAAACTTGAAACCTAGCAATATGTATACCTACAACTACACCGTTAGTTCCCCGGCAACGGCGCCAAAATTTGATCACGCCCAACTATGCCTTATAAAAAGGACAATGCGGTCGTTGCAAATATAATCCGGTTTACAAGTCCGGAGTCGAATCCCACAGAGAACTAAGGTTTAGCTACAGTTGTTCACTATCACCAAGAAGACAAGCTTGAACAATTCCTAACTTATAGATATTAAGATTCTTGTGTTTAACTACTTAACTAACAAATTAAAATAGTAAATTAACAACTAAAGATATTGAGGGTTAGAGAAACGATTAAGGAGGTCTAGAGTTATTCCGCTATGTCTTCTATAATTTCGCCTAAGTATTCTCTACCGATCATGAGCACTCTTATTACCGTAAATCTCTCCCGAGTAATTACGACAATTTACTAGACGCGCTCTCCCGAGCTACGCTAGCTGGCTTTTAATACAGCTCACTTCAGATCGCACCCAAGGCTTCGTTATCCTTAATCCCGCCTTTAAACCCTCGGTTATTGATCCCTCATATACTCTGGGAGTGGTGTTGTTCAACATTACCTAAATATGCACTCTCTCCCGAGTTATGCATACTAAATAGGCACAGCTAATTGAGAGCTCTCAATCAAACCAGAATATAAACGTAGTTAACAATAGAGAAAAGCTATGGCTCAATTATATAAAAACATAACAGAATTTATCCTACAAAAGGTTCATCAAAACTCTAGATACAAAATTAGCTATTCATAATAGTATGTAAAACTACAATCTAAAAAGTCATAACCAACAATGAAAAATGGAGGAGGAAGGAAAAACTCGTAGAAGAATTCTCCGCCTTGCTCCCAATGTGTTCTTGCCTCCAAGGGTGTTGTCTAACCCTAAGTAGTGTATCCTCGCCTCCTTAGGTCTAATTTGTGTCCAAAATATGTCCCCTTCTTGTTCTTGGCTGGCCTCCTTTGTTTAATATAGGGTTTAGGACTTAAAATCCCATGTTTTGCACTTTAGTCCCTGAAATTTTCGCTTCCTGCCGCGGTCCCACCGCGGTCGCGGTCAAACCGCGGCCAAACATACTCTCTGATTCTTCAGTTGTCCGCGAGTACACTCTGCCACGGTTCTGTCGCGGTCGCGGTGGAACCGCGGTTTTTCACCCTGTTCCATTTGGAATTTGGAAAAACATAAAACATGAAAGTTGTAGCCCTTTGAGTTAGCTTTCCAACCATATATTGTGGAGCCCAAATGGAGTTCTGAGCATAAAGTTATGTCTATTTTACTAGACAGTGCGCAATATGCCTCCTCAAGTCTTCGTTCGTACTTAATTATCAAATTTGACCCCCGAACACGATCCCGGCTTAATTCCTTGAGCTTTTACTCAGACTTCAAAGCTTCAAATCACTTAAATTCATTCCATAACATCTATATAGCTCGGAATCACACCTACAAGGCATAAAACACACAATTAGTGCAAAACACTAGCGATTAAAGCGCAAACTCAATTAAAGTGCAGTAAATTCGAGTGTAATAAGCGACTAAAATATGCAATTATAGCCTATCATCACCTCCTGATCACATGGCAACAATTTTACCAGTTACACCAAGGCAGTCCTTCTGACACCACCTGTCTGCCAATGGTTTAATATTGTTCCCAAACTGATTACCATCAAGATAAAATGGGGATGTTAAATTTGAGTGTTTTACAGAATTTACGGAGTAATGTCTATTACCAAGTACTAAGAATAAAACTAAATGAATTTAAATCTGTTTTCTCCCATCTTATTTATTTCTTAGATTGTTTTTCTTGTAACTTAATATTAATTGGTGTGCGTTACATGGTCCCCAACTTAAAGTCTGGTATATGGAAATTTTTAAGGATTTTGAAACCGTATGTTACTGTACTATACATCTGTATTTTAGTCTAGCATGCCTGATTTCCTTTTGCATGTCATGGTCCCCGTTAATTCTAAAACTTTTGGTTTTTATAGTGCGTCAAGTATCTTTACAGGGGAGACAACTTGTTTCTCGTACTCAACAAGGACCACTTGTATTGTATGGAACAACTTTTATTTGTTCAACTCTTATAAAGGATGATGGACCACTATGATAAGATAACATATATATCTTGAAAAGAATACATGTTTTATGCACGGCCGCGTAAAAGAATTTACGTTAGTCATGTATGATCGATAATCATAAGTAAATCTATACGATAAATATTAATTGATCATCATATAAAATAATAAGTAATTTATGAGAGGTTAAACTACAAAATTACAGTAAAAAACATAATGTAAATTATTTGGGTTGATCAGCAAAGGGCAGCTTGGACGAACTGATTAAACCCTGATAACTCAACAGTCTCGTCACAATATTAATTTTTAGTTATGGTATGGAGCGTTGTATTCCCAAAAGTAAGATTTCCGACGGGACTTTTGATAGTTGATGGAGAAAGCACCGCATAAAGGTGTTCATTGAGCCTGATCCCAGGGTTAAAATCATCTCAAAGCTGAAGCGAAGAAAAAAGTTAAGCTATTGTAAAATAGCGGAATTTCATTCTATTAGCTCATCAAGTTCTTGTTTGATCTGATGCTATTAGAACACCACAATAATCGTCTTTTTGAGATTAATATTCTCAATAGTGAACGATCATTCCACTAATCCGGCCCGAAAGCGAGTATCGATTGGAACCGAGTGGAAAATTTTTATTAAAAAAAACAATTGTCACGGGCATCCATGGATTTGTTTTTGACAATTTAATTAACAAAAGTTCTATGTTTTACCCACACAAATTGCCTCCTCGAGGTACCTATCCCTCTAACATTCTGCCTATATAGCACTCTTAAGAAAGTAGAAGGAACCATTCGTTTCTTTTCCTAAAGATATTAATTAAGTAGTAATTGGAATATATTACGAGCAGTTGAGCACTCTCATCTTGGAGCACTCAATTTAATATTTACCAACATATAGACGCTTATTATTCTGATAGTTCAGCTTAATTAATTCAAGAGTAAGACTAAAGTTCCATTTTCTTTTTTAAAATCTAGCACAGCTTCTTATTACGACACGCGTCCAGAAAATAAAAGAAGAAAAAATGATTTGCAAACTAGGAAAAGAGCTAGGGGGATAGCCAAAATCACAAAAACAATTAATTATTACTCCGTCTATCCCACTCCACGCAAGGTGAGTCGGAGTATAGATCATTTAATTTTTTTTATGTGAATTTGAACATAAACACTCAAATTTTTAAAATTTAAAATTTATATATTTAGAAGTAAGATAAAAATTACTATAAATAGTAATAATTAACAGCTCAAAATATTTAAAAGGCATATACAAAAAATTAGGATCAAAGAAAAACTTATTAGACTCTCCAAATAGTAACTTTATCACATAATATATTTGAGCCTAATGGATGAACATTAGAGTTAAAGTTGTTATTTGCCCCCTCGGACTAAATGAGGAAAATTCATGCGCCGTCTACGGAAGATTACAAAATAGTAGCAGTACTAGGTAGGTGTAGTCTTAAGTTGTAACAGTGCCCCCATGATGTTTTTACCTTGGTTTTGTAATACGTTTGTCAAAAAATTCATGCTTCTTAATGATACAGTAACAACTACAGTCACTTCACATTGTCCTCTCCAATGGTTACTCGACAACACATCGTTACAACGTAACGAATACTCACTCTTTGTTTTAACTTTTCCAATGCAGACTGTTCCTTCCTTTCACGAGTCAATAATAACACAGCCCACATACGGACTCTCAAATCCCTTAAAGATTCCTTCCTCTTCTTGGTGCGTCTTCTCCATATAGGTATGTACTCTCTATTATATATACCAAGATGCGTAATATAAGTATAGTCACCTGTTATATTCTCCCATATACTTATTAGCTTCCTATTATATTACTTTAGTCTTCTTCTCTAACTGCTATTGACTCCTAAAACGCACAAAGATTGCAACTATACGTACCACCCGGTGAATGTTACTTAGCTTGCCAGTTGCCACCATGAATAACCTATTACTCATATATATACTGAACCTTGATTTCCTTATTGCACCTTTTATCTAATTAGGGTTTTTTTCTTGACTCTTTGGTTGCAGTACTCCAATATAACATACGCAGATTCAGATTTTAAAGGCTGTGAGTTTTAATATAACATTGTGTTTCTCGACATATCTATCATTGGCGGAGCTAAGTGTGAAGAAGGGGTTCTATTGAATTCTCTTCTTTAGAAAATTATACCGAATAAAAATATACATTTCTTTTGTATAAAATCTTGAATTCTCTTAACATATAGGAAGGTTTCTTTTGTTCAAAAAATTTCAGATTATAATTTGAGGTAATTTGTCATTTTTGCTCTTTTGACTTGTTAGATTTCATGACTTCTCCATTGATATCTATATATATAGGTTTTGTGAAGTCACTTTAGATCCGCCTCTGATGGGGAGGGGTAGGGTTGAGATGAAGCGAATTGAGAACAAGATTAGTAGGCAGGTCACTTTCTCAAAGAGAAGGTCAGGTTTGTTGAAGAAGACTCACGAGATCTCCATCTTGTGTGATGCTGATGTTGCTTTGATTGTCTTCTCTGCCAAAGGCAAGCTCTTTGAGTACTCCACCGAATCCAGGTTAATTCTTACTCTTTTCGTTTATTAATCCTTTTCTCTTTAGTGTGTTTGAGAGTACTTGTGTACTTTTTCTAATTTGTAGCATGGAAAGTATCCTCGAAAGATACGAAAGTTACTCATATGCTGAGAGGAAGTTGAATGCAAATGACTCTGAACCTAAGGTATCATAAATCCCTTCATTTCCCATAAGTATTTACGTTATTTTGCATCCTTTGTGTTCTCATGGCTGGCAAACGTAATTAAAGAAAGAGCAACACCATTCATCAATTCATCAAATGAGGTACAACTTGATTCTTACACATGTTTTGAGGGTTAGATAAAAACAAGAGAAAAGAAGGGCCGATCGAAGAAAATTCTTCTATTTCAATAGGATAATATATAGCGAGTGATGACAAAGAAAGAGAAAGAAGATATTAATAAACGTGGATAGTCATTTTCCACTTTGATGCACTCATTTAGATTATAAATGAAGGAATTTGGTGTGTGTTATGTGAAGTAATAAAGCCAATTAATCTTGTAGTAGTTCTAAATTTTTAGGAATATTAAGCTTCATTCTTATGATGATATTCTTAGTTGTCCATGGCAAAAGGCATACTATAATTTTACAGAGATTTTTTATATCCTTTTTTCTATTTTTCTCTTCTCATCTTGTTTCCAAGTTTTTGATTTCTCCTTCTGTTTTATTGATATTCATATAAGGTTTTATCTATTAACTTTCAAATCTGCTGCATATTAGCTAACTTACAACAGATTTGTGAAAAGAAGATAAAGAAAGTTATCTATTTAAACTGATTTTTTTTTTTTAAAAAATTGTTCACATCCGAGCTACTTGTTACCTACTTTTATGCTAAAAATAGCATGGTCTAGCCAGTTTTCGGATTGGTCATTCAAAAATAGCCAGCGTTTATCAAGTCAATAAAAAATAGCCACTATTTTGCTGCAACAGAGACCGGTCCAGCATAATATACCGGAGTTCGGTGCACCTGTGTATGAACTTCCAGCATATTCTCCAACACACGGAAAGTTCCAGCATAATATACCGGAGATTCGAGCACTTGTGTATGAACTTCCAGCATATTATATTGGACCGGTATACTTTGCTGGAACTTCAGTATATTATGCTGGAGTTGTAATGTACTTATGCTGGAACTCCATCATATTATGCTGGAGTTCCAGCATACTTATCCTGGAACTCCAGTATAATATGCTGGAGTTCAAGTATATTTATGCTGGAACTCCAGCATAATATACTGGCGTATTTTCTGGGTTTTGAATAGTGTTTTCGCTCAGATTTATCTTTACATAAAAAGTGGCTAAATTTTAATTACTTTTGAAACTGGACTATTTTTGAACGACCACTTGTAAATCTGGCTATTTTTGAATTTCTCCCCCTTTTATGTCTTCGTTTCTATGTTGCTGTACTTTTTATTCCTTTGCAAAGAGAGCGTTAAACTTAATTAACCCTTGATCAGGAGGCCTTTTTAATTTTAATGTCTCAAAAGAAGCTGCTTAGGCACGAATTAGGATCGACAAAAGAAAACTAAATTAAGTTCTTAATTAGGTCTTGCGAGTAAGAGCGGGAATAATTTAGTACAATTTATAAGCTTTTTTAGTTGTAGGTTATTGCACTTCTCTTAAATGTATCAAACTACTTATGTTTTTGTTTTAGAAAAGCATTAGTTGGCTCCAAACCTAGACGTAGGAGGAAGGTTACCGTAGGTGGACAGCCAGAAAACAGTTTAAATATGATAAATCCCGTGAATAGATACAGGGATTTAATGGGACCAATATCAATTGATTGAGATTATTGGATACTTGATCGACTATGCTAGAGACAAAGAATAAACACTGAAAATGAAATTAAGGGTAGTACCCTGAAGCTAATTATGAAGATATGATTTAATTTCCCCTACTACTTGTATTAGATTTTGACAGATAACACACAACAGGAGTCTGTTTTACATCCACTGTTCAAGTGGATTTATTTAGTTAATTAAAATAAGAGCAGCCAAGAAATAAATTAAATCATTAAATCGTAGAAGAAAAGGGCTTTTGAGATTATAAAATTTGATGTCATTTGAGAAGAATAGATTGACAACAATTTATTTGTAAACTTGCTTTTCCTTTTGCCTCATAATTTCACAGGAAAACTGGACTCTGGAGTACCCAAAGCTCATGTCAAGGATTGAACTTCTGCAAAGAAATATAAGGTAGCTACCTAATTCACTTCATCTCAAGCAGAAGGGAAATCCTTGTTGATTCGTTACAACCATATCATTGTAATTTAACTCGTTGTTTATAGTAGAGTGCCTATGTTATATTTTTCATATTATTATGTACAATTGCTTATAGTTATATCTTTTAAAGTACCTGATAATGCAAAAATTCTTTTACAGTATTAGTAGTAGCGTTGTTGCATTCATAAAAGAAATTATGTGGATGTAGGCATTATATGGGAGAGGATCTGGATTCCTTCGGTCTGCGAGAGTTTCATGGTTTAGAGCAACAACTCGATACAGCTTTGAAGCGAATACGAACCAGGAAGGTCAATATCATTCACATTACTCATTAGTTAACCTCGATCTCTTTCTTTGTCAGATTATAATTCTTTCTTAGTTTGTGAATTGCCATCATTTAGAATATTGTCTATCTCAAAGAATATGCATGTGTTACCGCAACTCTTCTTGTATCAACAAGTGCTCAACATGTCTGTCACTTGAATTCGCAGAATCAACTGATGCATGAGTCAATTTCCCAGCTGCAGAAAAAGGTAAATTAAAAATGTCTCGTGGTAATTGCATCTATGAAGTTGATTTCAGTTGTGGTCATTGAACTTTATCCACTATAACAATAAAGCTACTATAAAACTATTCTATTGAAGTAATGAAAATTTGTATATTAGAACATAATATAATGAAACTGCTTTTGTCACATTAAAGTAACTGAACTATGTATGAATTATTCGGATAATATAAATAACCGGAATGTCAAAATTTATGATGCTGAACAATAGCTTGTTTTCTTCTTTTTTGGTTCATCTAAATGTTCTTTTTTAATATGTTTTATTTTACATAAAATATGGGTTGTTGTTCATATTTTTACATGGGGATTGATCTTTCTAACTTTCTCACTTGTAATTTTTGAACCACATTTGACCTTCATATTTTTGTATTTTCTCAACAATTCACACATAGTTTAGGTACTTTAACGTGATAATTAATAAATTACTTAGTGATTTTACAGTTACAGTTATAGGCTATGTTGCGCGGACTCTCCACAACAGCTGCCGCACCCGTGTCGGATCCTTCAAAAATACACTATTTTTGGAGGATCCGACATACACTCATCGATATTTTTGAAGAGTCCGAGCAACATAGGTTATAGGTGTAAAGTTCAATTACTTTAATGTATCAAAAAAATAATGTTAAAGACTTTACTGTTATATTAGGTAAAGTTGAAAAATCATACATGGAATTAACTCTACTAATATCCAAAGACAAGTCAATTTTATAGTGCTTAATTATGCTTAGATAGCATGTGCATTCTGATTGTTGTTTGGCACTTGATCCAGGAAAAAGAGCTGCAAGAGCAAAACCACTTAATGTCGAAGAAGGTACGCTACAAGCTGTTTCTTTAACATCTCAGTATTGGACTTCAATTTAGAAATGTATCCTTGTTTTTTTCTCAAGAAACTGTCAACTGTACACAGCTGAAAGGAAATGAAAAGCAGCAAACTGCGCATGCGCAGTGGGGGCAATCGAATCCAGGCCAAAGCTCGACGCCTGTCATTCTACCTCAAATTCCATCACAATCTCCCCCTCATATCCCTAACCTTACGATTGGGTACTTCCATCTTTCTCTTTCACAAAAACACACAATAATGACAGTATTATTTCGCGTAACAGTGATTTGGTGTATTAAACTCTCGCTATGCAAGGATCTAAAATTGGACCACGTTAAGTCTATAATACACAATATTACTTTATATAACTTTTTGAAGAGCCTGTTGTCTCTCCTATGCTGGTACTGTGGTACACCTTTATTATTACTTCATTTGGAAAAAAACAAGACACTACTAGAATGTTGGATCTGCCTTTGCTGATTATACATTTTTTTCCTTCGTTTTGAGAGAAAAAAAGGTAATTTTGAATTTGAAGTTAAAACTCATTTACCGGAACTCTTTTTTTTGTGTGCGCGCGCTCATATCTGGTAGGAGTTGGTGTTAACTCAAGACTTGTATTTAGTATATTGATTACTTAACTAGTAAATTATGTTCGAAATTTCTGAATCTCAGAGGTCCTTTTCAATCAACTGAATTCACGAGCACGGACGAAGGGCAAACTCGCCATGGTTCTAATTCATTGATTCCTCCATGGATGCTTCATCATCTCCACAACAAAGGGTGAAAACCCCTCCCTCTACAGGACTGTTTTATGAACATAAAATCACAAGTTTTCGGCTCTATTGTATTTGTAATCTACCTGTATGTTTTATATCTTTCAGTTTCAAAAGAAAATATAATATATGCATCATATTTCATATAGGGACTTCTCTAGTAGTCTTCTTTCCTTTTACGTCTTGTAGATGATTGATAGTAACATAAGTGGGGCAGTCAAAATAAAACACTTCTATCTTTTCATTTTGTAAAAATATCTGTGACTTCATTTCTCTTCCTATATGAGCGATGAATGCTTGAACTGTTCAAGCTATTTATGAGGTACCTGCAATCAGACAACAAATGTGATAATCTATTGTTTCCAAGCTCAAACATAGTGTCACATTCAATATCACTGCGAAAGTATTGTCTGTTTTGGCCCAACTTCTCTGGGTCACCTCAAGGCTTTATTGTCTCGTAATTTTGTTCCTTTGAGCTTTAGCTTAAAAGGCGTCTTAACATTTGAATCATGAACTCGCTCTTATATGACTTTGACTTTCTTCTCTTATTACAACGTAGGATTCGCTTAAACTAGTTTCACAACGAATTTCTTTTCGAGTTCAACCGTCAACGGTCAAACTTAAAGAACTTTTACCAGGTTAAGTAGCTATGAGAAGATGGAGAAGAAAGGATTTGGTGTAATGGAGAAAGGGTATTTTGAGGATTATGAAAAAGTATAAGGGACAATAAAGTAAAATATTATTGTCAAACTTAAAGAACTTTTACTCAATTAATGGCTTTTAGCTTGTGTTGGACCATTTGGCTTAAAAGCCAATTGCTTTTAAGCACTTTTTAATGTTAACAAACACTCAAATAATCGAAAAACAACTTAAAAGCTAGTTTGACCAGCTTTAAAACCAATCCAAATACCATCTTACTCTTTCATTACAAAAACTCATTTTCCTTCTTTAAAGGGAACAAGATCTCGTTAACCACAATGTTTGTGAATGAGGCATACCTTTGGACTTTCACATTATGATAAGCCTGAAGCACAAGAACGAAGTCAATATATAAAAACATATGAAACCCTTTGCATGTAGGCATACTTTGCTCTACCTAATTTTTAAGGGGGAGAAAAGCCTAAAGGTTCAGCAATCCGATTTCTAGGAGATATACTAATTGCTAAAATTGTTTCAGCCTGATAGTATATTTGATTTATTCCTCATCCTCAATCTTAAGCTAGTAGACTCCATTTTTTTTGGTTTTCCACCTAGTGTACAGTACGCGCATTGGGACAGACTGCTTACCAGAGTTTTTTTTTCATTTCTAAGGCTCAAAGCCTCAAACACAAGACCTCTTATTAAGGGGGAGATGCCATTCCATCCCACTATCACCACAACCCTTGTTGCCCTCATGTTATTGAATTCATAAAAGTTCTTTCTGTAGTTCCATTTAGATAAAGCAACATACCTAACACTTTGCTAGGATATTACAACAACAACAACAACAACAAAAATCCCAATAGTTTCCCACAAGTGGGATTTGGGGAGGGTAAGATGTATGCAGCCTTACCCCTACCCCTGGAAGGACAGAGATGCTTTTTCCAATAAACCCTCGGCTAGAGAACGACTGAAAAAGAAAAGGTAATTGCAACAAGTAGGAATAAAGTGGGCTATACAACGGAAGAACCATCACCAGAACCCTGGCAATATTATAACATGATAAGAAGCTTTGAACTAGTTCTTGTTACATCAGTTATCTAGTAAATCCGCTCAACTGGGAGTACAAAGTTAAATTGAAAACCATAACAATATCGAAACTCAAGCATTAATAAGGGATATGTTTATCAGTTATTTCGTATTTACTATACACGCTAACATATTTAGCAACATGGTATTCACACAGACTTCAAATTCATCTGTTTTGGTTTTATAATCCCTTATTACTGCTGGTTTCACTTTCAACTGTAACTTCTTGAACAAGGATCAGGTCGTCTCATCAAATGCCATCACCTAGAAATAAAAAAGAAGGCCAACTCATAAATTAGCAAAATGCTTTTCAAAACAGTGTCTGTACGACTCTAATTCTTCTGAAAATAAAGCAAACATGAAGCTTCAATACGACAAGGGGCATGTATTTCCACCAAAATCTTTAATCGCATCGCTAAACAATAACTGTACGACACGCTAAATAGACCTGAATCAATATAATCTCCTGCACTTCCTAATTAACTCCCTTTTCCATTTTGTTCACATTATTGTGTTTTCTGGTGATCTTTCTCTATCTTTCTTTTCTTCCTTTTTTCAATCCAAACTCATCACAATTGACTAGTTAACCAAGGGACTTGCCCTGTAAATTTTTCATCCAAACAGTTTGTGAGATGGATATGGTGCAATTCAATAAATGATGCTATTGGCATTGACATTTTGGTAACTGTCATTCAACTTCTTGTAGTTAAATAGCATGCAGATGGCAGATACCAGATGTTAAGATCCGTAATTCTTGTGCCTCAGCAAATTGCAACACAGCCTGCTATTACCATTTCGCTCACAACAGCTTTGATCAATACCAGACTACTAGAAAGTGAAATTTATAGCTCTAACTTTTATTGCCAAGGCCAAAATATGAATTATCGAATTCTGATATGCATGTGTGTTCACCTCAGAAAAAAGGAACTTTCTGCTACTTGTGCGCCAAGGAAAACCGATGGCATGAAAACGGCAGCAAAGTCATGCAGAACAGGGCACAAGGAAAAAAAAAAAAAAGAGGAGAAGCAGCCAGAGTAAGCAATAGAAGGGAATGACTTATACTCTTGCGGTCTTGCCACATTGGTGGTATAATAGCAAGATTAGCATCAATTGAACCATTGAGGTGTTTGGTCTATAGAAGACCCATGGATTTTTTTTTTGATTTTTTTGGGGGTTACCAGAACTGAAAGAGTCCTGAAGGCATATCTTTTGTATTGCATGATGTCAAACCTTGGTGGACACAAGAAAACAAATATTGGGCCATTTATATGGTCCTCCTCAAATTTACTAACAGGATTTCTGTATCCTTTCTCTGTATTAGAGAGGTGTCAAATAAAATTTAGTACCACTTATCCATCAGGCTAAACCCTGATAGAAATCAACTAGATTTACCAATCCTTTTCATGAATCTCATTACAGCCTTCTCGACAAACTTATTAACACCAGCACAGTTCAAAAGTTCCAATCACATTCACTTTATATCCCATCACAAAATTTCCCTAGGAACACTGCATAAACATTGTCAATAACAGCCCTACAGAGATGTTTGCATAAGCATGAAGCAGGCTCGGAATCAAGGTACACTACAGAGGCCGGATTTGTTGGCTCAAACCAACACCAGGTCAGGTCTTTGGGCAGCAGTCTGGTGCAGTTTGACTTTAAAAAGATAACTAGGGAATAGAAGGTCTGTTTAGCCTGCCTTAATGGCCCCAACAAACCTTCTCTTGACTGTGCAAATCCTCGGGCCCAACCCAAGCCATGGATTAAGTGCTAAGCCCCGGCATAAGCCCAAGTGTTTGCACCAATTAGGCCAGGCAAACTACCAGAATAGTTGCCATTTTTCATCATTCACAAGCAATTTGATTGAATACCTGAATCTACCATAAAATTTTGTTAGTCAACCTAACCGAGAATATCTGAGACACCATCGAACCTTAATGGAAGTGCATAACACTTGGGAGCTTCTTATCTTCTCAACTACCTTATCACCTTTAAATCTCGGCACCTTCATTTCAAAGAAAGTACTTATTAGGGTTATAAAAAATTTATTTTCTCATTATGCTTTTAATCAAACAACTTCACCAAAGAAAAGTTGCATGTGACATCTTCCTTTCAATAATGTTTCTCTAATCTTATAACATCTCCAAATGTTTATGAAACTTCATGATACTGGCCTCGTTAATCACTATTTTCTTCTTGCTCTGGGTATTGTCATTGTTTTTCACTGGTCTGGTAAACTTTCTTTGGAGACCAATTCCCAAACTTAAAATTTCCTCAAAATAACCACAAGTTATGGGCTTCCACATGTTTAACTGCATAGCAAGCCAATAGAATTTGGGGCCATAATAGCCAGCAGTTAAAGAGACCTGCGGGTTGTTACCCAATCTAGTGTCAGAGCTACACGAAGTCTCTTAAAAACAGGAGCAGATTCGAAACAAACATGAAGATTCAATGTAATGAATGTTCAGGTTGTATCATTCTACCACCCTGTTTTGGAATAGATTCTCCACGCATTCTCAAAATATATTCCACTATACAACTAATGTTAGTTGACTTGCTTCTAACAGCCTAAGAATGTATAAGTTATAAAATCCTTGACACGCTTTCTGCTCACTTTTCTGTTCAAGCTCTCGCTCTACATTTGGTATATTACAGTAAACCTTCTTCACTTGACTGCAGTTCAGCTCTTTTCACCCTCAACTCTGGCTTTCCAAAATAAACCTTCCCTAGAGATTCCCAGTAACCTCTTTTCTTGAGTTAATTGCATACAACTATCTCTATGATACAAAAAAACTCGGTATTGCATATAAAGCAGAATTGTGAAAGCAAATTTGCTCATTTGGGTATAATTAGCAAATAGAGAAAAAGGTAAGCAAATAAATAAACAATGAGCCAATCCTCCACGTTAAAACAAGATAATGATGATAGGATCAATGCTAACTATATCCCGTGCAAGTATTTGTAATGAGTTGGCCCACAGATCATTAGTTTTTCCAGAAGAATCAAGTAAGAAATTTGAAAAATGTCGGCTCACGCTTTTTGTGCCGATTAATGCATAATCTTTGACAAACATTGGAGTGTGGCTGGGAAAAAGAACAAGGTAATTCATGAAAAAGAATTATAAACTGATAAAAACGAGGGAAACAACAGTTTCTTACATCCCTCCCCTTGTTTTCCCTTTCCTAATTTTCATTTTCCAACAAAAGACAAGAAGTTTAGATGTTTCTTTTTAACCTATAAGAATATAATTTAGTCTTTACACCAAGAATATTCCTAGAACTGTCTCCTTATTATGGATCCACATTTTAAGGAGTGGCAATATAGGGGCATTTGTGCAGCTTCAAGAAGGAATTTGAATCTACATTGTTAGTTATAATGGCTGTATCTTGGAACTACTTGATTGTCGCTTAGACAAAGAGGTCAATGTCGAAAAATAAGAACATGCAGACATTTCGCTCGGATAGCCTAGGAATTGCTTGTAGCATAGCAGAATATATCGGATAAGCTCAATGACTACACCAAATCAAGCATTACAAAAAGGAGATGGCACATATAACGTAAATAATATCACAATTACCTTGCCACAAACTGGACAGCTGTCACTTCTTTCCATCCACTCATATATACAACTCAGGTGGAAATGGTGAGAGCATTTTGTCATTATTTTTGGGTTTTCCTCGGTATATTCTGAAAGAGACAGGATCATCAGTGTCATGAAAGTAAATATTCAAAAGATACCCTGAACTATGCTAAACAATGCCCAGAAACCATTCAATGTATGCCAAAAAGTACGTGAATGATATACTGCTCAAAACAATTTCATTAAACACTGTTGTTCCCCATTTAGTCATGTTTATTCTTCACCACTTGGTCCTGTAACAAATATTATCAAACCAATGATTTTAGAAGGAAAAACTATAACAGTGGCCAGGGTATAGTAAATTTCTGTTGTCCACTAAACAAAATAATATCTAGGTTATGCTACCAAACGGTGGGACAAGGGGAATACAAAAAGACTTTTTACAAGACACTCCCGCAGAGGGTATGGATTAGACTACTTTTGCTACATCCAATGAGGTAGAGCAGAAAGCTCCAACTTTTTTTTACCTTCAAGACATGTCGGGCAGACATCTTCATCTTCTGAATAATAATAGAAATGAGCATCTCCAGAAGTCATTTTAGCTGTTGAGAATTCAACGGACGATTTGTTGTATTCTTTTGATCCTTCTTCAAATGTAGGCTGACTCCATTTATTTACATCGCTTAATGATTCGGAATCATCAAAGCTTCTTTGTAGTGGTTCAGTTTCCTCATGTGAGTGGCTTGAGCCTTTCTCCCTTCTCGATACTTGTCCATCTTGTTGCAAGCGGAAATATCTTGGATCAGCATCATAAGGAAGTGGTCTCGGAGGAGAACGGTAAACGTCAGACAATGAGTCATCAAGAGATGTTGTAGAACTCAAAGATGCAGCACCTTGATCAGATGAAGGAATGACATGTTGTTCTCCTCTATGGAAAAGTGATGTATACTGAAGAAAAAGATAACGAAGATATGTAAATTCTATGGCAAGTAAAGGAGTAATTGTCATAAGCACGTATTCAGTGAATTATGAAGGTCTTGATATGAAGCTGATGACAATCTAAAAACAAGACTATACCCAAAGACAATGTTTTGTGATAAATATACCTAAACAGATTATGAAGATAAGTTCAGCTACCGGATACTCTCAAAAGATTTTAAAATTTTGAGTATGTTCCATGTGTGAAATGCTTTGGATGGTGAGCCTTATTGAAATAGTAAAGTTGTTTCATCATCTCATTAGTTAAATATTCAAAGGAAAATGACTATAAAGGTACTCTCCATTGACTATAATTGTGTAAGCAGCAGCAGTGCGTTTGAAAAGAAGGAATTATATGGTGATTATACTACGATGGTGTCGAAAATCATACCACATGCAAGAAGTTCTGAACAAGAGTTCCAAGGCATATACAGTTTCTATACATTGAGCTGTTTGGATTGGCAAAATCTTCACAATCGTCTCGTAAGCAGCAACAAACTGCGCCCATGGTACCGTTTTCAACCTATGTTGGTACCACAAAAACCTTTTCAAGTGTCATTGACAATCCCAATTGTCACGATATCCAGACTGTGGAAGCAAAACTTGTGGCAATTGGAACTTGGAGTAACAAACGAAAACTAAGGAAAGACCTTCAGCGAGCAAATGGAATTGGGCACCCGCTCTCTTCAGGAAACCCCCCGAATGAGTGAATGCCCTTTCTGATCAAGACATTAAGAAAAAATAAGTATTATGTTAGATTCCTGTAACAGTGAAGACAATTAAACTATCAGAACTAAGATATAAGAAGACACACAATACTTCCAAACTTACAGCTGTTGAAGATGTATACCTTAATTCCAAACAACTCTTATCGTCTATATGAATCCTCAATATTCATTCAACTCCATTTGGACCCTTTTAATTCCAAGACTCAAGAATGCCCAATACAGTAGTTAACTTTAATATCTTTGTATGCAATTATTAAACTCAGAGAAAAGATTACAATTTCTAAAACTTCAAATATTTCCTGGGATTAGAAATTTTTTTTTGTTATTAATAGAACCTCAGTAGAAAAGCAAACACAAATGATCAGCTGAAGAAGCTCAATGGTCACAATTGTAAGGCAAACAGGAAATCAAGAATTGGGTAATTATAATTTCAGATTAATCAATTCTTAAGTCAAAGAATAGAATTTTAACGCAGATACATATGGTAATCGACCAATTCAGACAATACCCAATTGAGGTCACAAGATTAAAGAAGTAATCAAGGATGGAGAAAAGAAAAGCACACCTCTAAATTATGGAGACAGAAAAAGGGAGAGAAAAAGCGATAGAATGGATGATTGTATTGAATTCCAGAAAAGACCGAAGCCAATAAAGAATTCTTGAAATCGGAGGTTCGATGCTTTTGGATTTTTTGTATATAATTTTCGCCAATATTGGCCGATACGCGTCAATAGAGACTGCCTCAAAAGCCTTTGGGCTTCTCTCTTTTTTATTTTTCTTTTTTCTAAAACAAATGATACTACTCCGCATTCAACTCAGTTTGCTTCACTAATCCGCGGATCAGTATAGGCATCCAATAATTATGTCCTCTAATTGGATTGTGGTGTTATGTTTTACTTTAGATACAATATTAATTTTTATTAGTCTCGATTGCATAATATCATATAATATAATATAATATAAATATAACGTAAAATGATTCAATATTAATTTTTATTAGTCTCGATTGCATAATATAATATAATATAATATAAATATAATATAAAATGATTGTACATATAAAACGACTAGAAATAAGCCAAATAGGTTGTAAGTTTGTGCTACCACAACTAGTAACTCCCTTCATCAGAACTTATATAGAAGACTTTTTTTATTTTTTTTTATTTGAATGTCACCGTAGAGGTGTCGGGGTTGAGGCATGACCCCTTACCTGTATATTACCAAAATCCAAAAAGTGAATACATGGAGGAGAGGGACATAGTGCCTTATCTCCTTTGGATCATAGTCCGAGTCGAGCCTATTTAGAGATCTACTAACTACACAAAAGCTCCTATGAGGAGGAGTACATGAGTGGTGATTACTGAGAATTTGTGAGGGGTTATTTCCCGTTCCACAATGATAGAGGATATACAAAAATATGGGGCTAATTACATACATAATCACCATGAGCGTTTGTACCGTCCCTCCTAAGTCTAATTCTAAAATATGGGAATTGTGCGCTATCCATACGGTAAGCTCCCCTTGCTTCAGTTGGTAATTCACACACCTGAGAGAAAATTCTTGCCTCTGTAGACATTTGCGAGTTGGCTCCAAATTTGGCTAAGGCATCAGCAGTTTCATTTCCCTCTCTGTAGCAATGCTGGATTTTTATGTTCAAATCGTGGGTTATTTGAGTCATGTATTTGATATCATCTGTAAGCTCCCATGAAGGTTTATAAACTCCCTTCATCATATTGACAGTCATAAGGGAATCCATCTCTAAAATGCAATTGGTTATATTATTTTGCCTGCACCAATTAAGAGCATACAATGCTGCCTGAACTTCAGTTTGGTTGTTAGTGCAGAAATGAAGAGCTTTGGCAAATGCCATGATCAAATCTCCATTTAGGTTCCTAATCACCCCTCAAATTCTTACAGTTCTCTTTGTAATATTACTGCTTCCATCAGTGTTTATTTTTAGCAAACCTTCTGGAGTTTTATTTCATATAACTGGAGTGCTCGTGATTCTTGGTCTATAGTCTTCCATGTAAGTGCAAATTTGATGCCATTGCCATTTCATGTCCACAGTAGCTCCTCTCTTCTTCATGTATACCTTCATATGAAACAAACAGACTGTCTTAGCTTTGCAATCGTAGGATTTATGTTTCCATACCTGATAGAGCATCTATGTTTTCATAGCTCCCAACAGATAAAGATAGGAACTACTCGACATAGGTCTCTTTGGACATCATTCTTATTCTGAGTGTTCCTCCTTTCTTTTAAAGTATATGCAATTGATTGGCATCTTACTTTAATTCCCAGAGGACCTGCAAAGAAATTCCAAGTTAGAAAAGCAATATCACTATTAAGGAGAATATGCATGCGATATAGTTTCTTCCTTGGGGTGTAGGCAACAAGAACATCTGGAAACTATATTATGACCAGATCTCTTTATGGTTTCATCCACAGGTATTTTACCCTTTATAGCTCTCCAAAGAAAGAAAGAAATTTTAAATTGGACATTCTTCTTCCACACATCTTTTCACATATTATCCATATCCTTCTTCTCCTAATGCAGTTAAAAGCAGAGGAACAAGTAAAGGCCTCACTAGAAGTCTCAGTCCAAACAGGGGTGTCATTAATCTGTCTATTGCCAATAGGGATATGAATAATATGATTCAACGGATTATTAGGAACCAGCCTAGATATAGTGTTTACATCCCGTGTCTTATCCTTGATACAATCCCTGATCCTCATATTTCCAGGTTTTCTGTTACCATTGACACAAGCACCAAGTGGTCCAAGTCCTGTCCAATTATCCCACCAAAAGGAGCTATCACCATCATTGATCTTCCATAGGATATAAGGTTCAATAACTTTTCGAATTTGTATCATTTCCTTCCATGCAGCAGAATGTTTATGTTCCAAGGCCTTTGCAACAGGGTGGCTTCTCCGGGAGTTTTTAGCTCTCATGAATTTGGCCCAAAGGTTATTTGCAACTCTGAACCTCCACCATCTTTTGGCAGAAAAAGTCTTACATAAGTCAGTTAGACTTTTAAAACCCACACCACCTTCATCAGTAGGATAACAAAGATTCTTCCAAGAGCTCCAGTGGTATTTGTCCTTGTTTTCAAATTTGCCCCAGAAGAAATTGGAGAAGCAACTCTCCAATTGTTTGAGAATTGTCTTGGGAGGGGTAACATCTGCAAGAATAAGAAGAGCTTGAGATTGAAGCACATGTTTAATGAGAATAGCTCTTCCACCAGGGAATAGTACATGACCTTGCCAACCTCCTATCTTATTCATAACATTCCTGGCAATATCTGTATAATAACAATTTTTCTTTCTTCCAGAATAGATTGGACAACCCAAATACTTGAAAGGGAATGATTGATATCGATAACCAGTGAGCCTCAAAATCATATTATGTCTACTATCACAAATATACTTGGATGCCAAGTGAAAACTTTTATCCTTATTGATCTCCTGTCCTGAAGATTCCTCATATCTCCTTAAAGTTTTCATTACCTGCTTTATGGAGTATTTATCTCCAGAAGCGAAGATAACTAAGTCGTCTGCATAGGCGAGATGATTGATTGTTGGACCTCTGTTATTCATAGAATATCCAATATGCTTACCCTTATTATGGAGGTGATTAAGGGCTATGGACAGGGCCTCAGCTGCAATAACAAATAGGCTAGGGGAGAGGGGGTCTCCCTGTTTAAGACCTCTAGAAGAGGGAAAGAAACCAAATCTAGTGCCATTAATAAGAACAGAGTACCAAACATTAGAGAGAAATCTATGAATCATTTCAATGAATGGTTCAGCAAATCCCATACACCTCATAACAGAAAAGTAAGAAAAAGCCAAGAAACTTTGTCATAAGCTTTAGCCATATCTAGTTTCATAATCACATTGCCACCTCTATTTTTGCGTTTAATATCCTGGACAATTTCTTGAGTTAACAAAACATTTTCAGTGATTAGTCTTCCTTTGATAAAACCAGTCTGATTTTCAAAAATAATACTAGGAAGCAAATCTTTAATCTATTGGAGATAATTTTTGAAATAATTTTATTGGAGAAATTACTTAGACTAATAGGTCTAAGTTGTTAGTCTAAGTTGAGAAAATGTAGAAGAAGATTCAACCTTTGGAATAAGTACTAGACAAGTATGAGTAAAAAATTTAGTTAGAGTGTTACCACCAAAGAAATCTTTAACCATAGCACACACATCCTCAGCAATAATATGCCAGCAAACTTGGAAAAATTTGCCATTGAATCCATCCGGACCAGCTGCACTATCAGGATGAAGCTCAAAGACTGCAGTTTTCACTTCCTCATCGGAAGGAAGCTGGATAAGAGCTTGATTGTCTTTCCAAGTGATAATATTGTCAATCCTTTTGAGGAGGTCCATATCATTGTTCTGGTCAGGTTGTTGTGAGGCCCCGTGAAAAATTTCCACTCTAAACCCGAACCTCGTAGTGCCAAGTTAGGGCCAGGTGTTAGAAACTCATAAACATTCTTCGCGGCTCGTAAGCTCGCCGCGGCTTGGACCCTTTGAGCTGATCTATGCATTCAAAAATAAAAAATCAAAGTTTTCCAGAAAGGTGCAAATGTGCGTTTAGAATGCGATCGCATACCAGGTATGCAGACCGTATTTCTGCCGCAGAGTGAGTCAGTGTGTTAGCTAATTTGAGGTTAAAGATGCGGTCCATTATGCGATCGCATAACCAATATGCGGACCGCATAGTCGTCGCATAATTTCCTTAGGATTTTGTGAAGGTCAGTTTTGCGGTGCATAATGCGACCGCAGAACGGGTATGCGGACCGCATTTCCGTCGCATACCCAAGCAGAAGGTTCAGGTTTTGGGAGCCTTTTTGCGGTCAATATGCGGCCCGCATTTCCACTTTGCGATCGCAGATCCGACTCGAGGCTCCAATTTTCTAATTTTTAACCCCCCCCNTTTCTTTTTACCAATCATATCAACAAGCGTTAAATATTAGAATAACAGCAGAAATATGAAATTAAAATGGAAGACTTAACGAAGTAAACCAAATAACAAGGAAAAATCCACATATGTCTCTACCCAGGACGGGTGTCACAACATTCACGGACTATCTAAAAGTGCTACATACAACTGTCTGAAACAAGGAATAAAGTCTGTCTCGGATACAAAAGGAAACAGATCATAAATAAAGATAGAGGAGATGCCGGGCCTGCGGACGCCTGCAGGACTACCTCGGGAATCTCGTGGACTGAAGACTAGCTCCCGAACTACTGCTGCTGTCCGGTATCTGGATCTGTGCAAAAGAGCACAGAGTGTAGTATCAGCACAACCAACCCCATGTGCTGGTAAGTGCCTAGCCTAACCCCGGCGAAGTAGTGACGAGGCTAGACAGTACAACCACATAAACCTGTGCAGTTATATATATACATCTACAGCGAGAAATATATCAAGAATAAACATTTTAAATGGGAGGGGAACATGCTTCAGGGATAGCAGATAATACAAAATTTCAAGAGAATAATAAGGAACATCAATAAATTAACTCTAACACGGATAAGGGAAATAAAAGCAGATTTCACTATCAGTACACATCTCGTTGCAAGCGTGCAACCCGATCCCATTTCTCAATTTTTCCGTGGTAGGCGTACCACCCGCTCCCATTTGATCAAATCTCGTGGTAGGCGTACCACCCGCTCCCATTTCATCATAACTCGTGGTAGCGTACCACCCGCTCCTATTTCATCAATATCTTGTGGTAGGCGTACCACCCGCTCCCATTTCAATCAATAACTTGTGGTAGGCGTACCAGCCGCTCCCATTTCAATCAATAACTTGTGGTAGGCGTACCACCCGCTCCTATTTCAATTCAACACAAAGTCACACAAAAATTCCGGCAAGGAAAACAAAAGCAATATAATAATAATTTCCCGGCAAGGGAACAACAATATCAAAATAACCATCCCGGCAAGGGAGAATCAGCTATAACCAAATCCTAGCTCAACTCTTACTCAGCTCGATTAATACCAGTACTCAAGTATAAATAAAGTCCACGAGAATAAACTAAATCTCTACTCAATATCAAGAGTCATCAATTTAAAGCATCTGAAGTGTCATTTAAGAACACAACAACTATCAATTTAAGACTCACGGTCATGCTCGACACCAACGTATAGATACTCGTCACCATGCCTATACGTCGTGCTCAACAAGAAGCAATTAGCAAATAAGACTCAACTCCTAATCCCTCAAGCTAGGGTTAGACCAAACACTTACCTCGATGCCTTGAACACAACTCAAGCCTCAATTATAGCTTTACCCCCTGATTCCACCACCAATCCTCTCGAATCTAGTCACAAGTTACTTAATTACATCAATAAGTGCTAAATGAATCAACCCCAATGCATGAAAATGAGTTTTCCAAAGTTTTACCTAAAAAGTCAAAATTCGCCCCCGGGCCCATGAGATCAAAACCCCAGGTTCGAACCAAAACCCAATTACCCATTCCCCCACGAACTCAAATATGTAATTTGTTTTGAAATCGGACCTCAAATCGAGGTCCAAATCCCCAATTTTTGAAAAACCTAGGTTCTACCCAAAACACCCAATTTCCCCCATGAAAATCTTTGATTTTAGGTTGAAATCATGTCAAAAGATGTTATTGATTGAAAGAAATGAGTAAAAACTAACTTACAATTGATTTGGAAGAAGAGTTGTTCTTGGAAAATCGCCTAAGTGTGTTTGGGTTTGAGAAATATGAAAAAATGAAGCTCAAAATTGTTTAAGTGTAAAAATTGCAGGTCTCAGTTATGGGAAATGCGAACATGGGTTCGCAATTGCGAACCCCGACCTCTGCAGATATGGGAATTACGAAGCATTGTTCGCATTTGCGAACGCTTCAAAAACTCCGAACCTTCGCATTTGCGAGACCATGGTCGCATTTGCGATGGTCGCATTTGCGACATATTGATCGCATTTGCGATCCCTGGCCATCATGGGCACCTTTGCATTTGCGAAGTAAATTATCGCATTTGCGATGAAGGGTCAGGTCTGTGCAGCTCGCATTTGCGAGCCAGGCTTCGCAAATGCGAAGCCTGCAGGTCAGATCATACCAGCTAAGTTTTAAGTTCAAAAATGCAACCCGTGGCCTATCCAAAACTCACCCGAGCCCTCGGAGCTCCAAACCAAATATACACACAACCTCAAAAATATCCTACGGACTTATTCCTGCGATCAAATCGCCAAAGTAACATCATAAACATCGAATTAAACCTCAAAATTCATGAATTCTTTCAAACTTCATAAAACATCAAATTTCCAATTTAGGTCCGAATCACGTCAAACGACGTCCGTTTTCAACCAAATTTCACAGGAAGGACTTAAAACATATATAAGACCTGTACCGGGCGCCGGAATCAAAATACGGGCCCGATACCATCGCTTTCTAATCAGATTTCATTTCCAATTTCCTTAAACAATTTCAGAAAACAATTTTACTAAAAAATTCATTTCTCTGGCTTGGGACCTCGGAATTCGATTCCGGGCATACGTCCAAGTCCCATATTTTCCTACGGACCCTCCGGGACCGTCAAATCACGGGTCCGGGTCCATTTACCTGAAACGTTGACCAAGGTCAAATTTATTCATTTTAACATCAAAACATAGCATTTTTCACAGAATTTCACATTTAAGCTTTCCGGGTACGCGCCCGGACTGCGCACGCAAATCAAGGTGACTCTAAATGAGGTTTTCAAGGCCTCGAAGTCATAGAATTTAGTTAAAGACAGGTGATGACCCTTTGGGTCGTCACATTCTCCACCTCTAAAACAACCGTTCGTCCTCGAACGGACAGAAGAAGGAAGTACCTAAGTCGGGGAAAAGATGAGGATAACGGCTCCGCATATCGGACTCGGACTCCCAGGTCGATGCTTCAGGAGGCTGACCTCTCTATTGAACACGAACAGAAGGGAAACTCTTTGACCTCAACTGACGAATCTGCCGGTCTAGAATAGCTATCGGCTCCTCCTCATAAGACAAGTCCTTGTCCAACTGGATAGTGCCGAAATCTAACACGTGGGCTGGATCGCCGTGATACCTCCGAAGCATGGACACATAAAACAATGGATGCACGGCTGATAAGCTCGGCGGCAAAGCAAGTCTATAAGCCACCTCTCCCACTCGATCAAGAATCTCAAACGGACCAATGAACCTAGGGCTAAGCTTGCCCTTCTTCCCAAATCTCATCACGCCCTTCATAGGCGACACTCGGAGCAATACCCGCTCACCAACCATAAAAGCCACATCTCGAACCTTGCGGTCTGCATAACTCTTCTGCCTGGACTGAGCTGTACGAAGCCTATCCTGAATAATCCTGACCTTGTCCAAGGCCTCCTGAACCAGATCCGTACCCAACAACCGAGCCTCTCCCGGCTCAAACCATCCAACTGGAGACCGACACCGCCTACCATATAAAGCCTCATAAGAAGCCATCTGGATACTCGACTGGTAGTTATTGTTGTAGGCAAACTCCGCTAAAGGCAAAAACTGATCCCACGAGTCTCCAAAGTCAATAACACAAGCTCGGAGCATATCCTCCAAAATCTGAATAGTCCGCTCAGACTGCCCATCCGTTTGGGGATGAAATGTTGTGCTCAACTCAACTGGGTGCCCAACTCTTGCTGAACTGCTCTCCAGAAACGCGAAGTAAACTGCGTACCCCGGTCTGAAATGATAGATACGGGCACACCATGAAGGCGAACAATCTCCCGAATATAGATCTCAGCCAACCTCTCAGAAGAATAGGAGACCGCCACAGGAAGGAAATGTGCTAACTTGGTCAGCCTATCAACAATGACCCATACTGCGTCGAACTTCTTTCGAGTCTACGGGAGTCCAGTAACGAAGTCCATAGTGATCCGCTCCCACTTCCACTCGGGAAGCTCAATCCTCTGAAATAAACCACCAGGCCTCTGATGCTCGTACTTAACCTGCTTATAAATCAAACACCGAGCCATATATATAACGATATCCTTCTTCATTCTACGCCACCAGTAATGCTGCCGTAAATCCTGATATATCTTCGCGGCACCCGGATGAATAGAGTACTGGGAACTACGAGCCTCCTCCAAAATCAACTCTCGGAGCCCATCCCTATTAAGCACACAAACTCGATCCTGCAATCTCAAAACTCCGTCATCATCTAAGGTAACCTGCCTGGCACCTCCGCGCTACACCGTGTCCCTAAGGACACACAAATGGGGATCATCATACTGCAGATCACGGATATGCTCCAACAATGAAGAATGAGCGACCGTGCAAGCTAACACACGACTGGGTTCAGAAACATCCAGCCTCACGAACTGATTGGCTAAAGCCTGAACATCCAAAGCAAGCGGTCTCTCACCGATCGGAATATAAGCAAGACTGCCAGTACTGGCTGACTTCCTACTCAAAGCATCGGCCACCACATT